GTTATTGTTTTATTACATGTGATGTCTGCTCATGGTGACTGCCTTCTTCTGTATTTTTGCTCTTATGACTCAGTGCAATTTAAAATATCTCTGGGCCTAATAGAATCTCAGAAGCCAATTTCTAAAGGACAGTAATACTCTTAAAATAGAAGCTTTCATCAACACCAGGAGGGATTTTAGCCTGCCCTACATGATACCACTTAATAGAGGCAGTAGCTGAATAGGATTTTGGGCCAGATCCCCTAAGGGAAAAACTACAAAAGGAACCTGTACAACTGCTCATAAATTGTTTCCCTAGTTCTCTCCTGTTTTCAACACATTTTGCCACAGCTGAATTTTTTTCCTACAATAACTAATTAATATATTATACTTACTATGCAAACAGGACTAGTCCTTCAGTTTTTATTTTATTTTACTGTATTTTGTTAATCTTCACTCAAGGATATTTTTCCATTGATTTTTAGAGAGAATGGAAGGGAGAGAGGAAGGGGGGAGGGGAAGAGGGAGAGGGAGAGGGAAAGGGGGGGGGAGAGAGAGAGAGAGAGAGAGAGAGAAAGAGAAACATCGATTGGTTTCGTCACCCACGACCCCAGCTGGGGCCAGGGATCAAACCTGCAACCCAGGTACAACGTATCCTTGACTGGAATCAAACTCTTGACCCTTTGGTCCATGGGTCCATGCTCTAACTGCTGAGCCAAACTAGCCAGGGCTAGTTCTCCAGTTTTTAAACAGCAAATTAAATATGTTAAACCATTTTACTATGTGACCTGGCAAAAGTCCTTTATCTTTCTAGGCCTCAGTGTACTCATTTGTAGAATAAGAGTAAACTAGATTATCTAAGGGCTCTGAGGTAATAAGTGAACCCCCACTGCCACTAACAAATCTGCAATAATACTGGAATGGGATGAAGAGACTAGCAAGGCAAGAAGACTCTGAAGTCAGTACTGATCCCATCACTAAAAAAAAAAGTCTAAACCTTGCCTCCTAGCTTCCCCAAACACATAATCTCACTCACATCTGAGTGCCTAAAGCAAAGCTCAAAGTCTAAACTTCTAGTTACTAGTCAAAAGGTAGAGTGGAGTTTAGATCCAAGCTCTGCTACAATGGCTTCCAGAACCAAGCGCATGTGGGTGGCTGAAGTACTATTCAGTCATGGCACAATATGTGGGTGAAGAGAGAGAGAAAGACTGTACTCCACAGGCTCCTTAATGCTTCTAATATTCCAGAGTAAGTAAATGGTTTTGAGCAAAAATCTTGACCTGGCACTACTCACTGTGGTAGAGAGCAATAGGAAGCACATTAAGTGAGTGACATTATTAAGAAGGGACTCTGAAAAGGGAAAAATCCTCACCCGAGGACATTTTTCCATTTTTTTATTCAGATAGAGAGCGGGAGGGAGAGAGAGGAAGAGAGAGAGAGAAACATCAATGTGAAAGGGACTCATCGAGTGGCCGCCACCCACACGACCCAATCAGGGCCGGGGATAAACTGCAGCCAAGGTACATGCCCTTAGTGGGAACTGAACCCGGGCCTCTGTGGACCGCAGGCTGACGCTCTAACCGCTGAGCCAAACCAGCCAGGGCTGGAGGTTTTCTTAAGTATTCCCCCTATTGCATACCTATACTGTTGTACCAGTTTGAGTAAAATTTCCAGAGTTTATGTCTTGACAGAATTTTCCAAAATATGTTAAAAATAGTGACTCAACTTTTAGTGAAACACACACTTTGACCTGGAAAAGGTCCAATACCCATTGCCAATGCAGTCCAGGCTTCTTAGAGATAGACTATAACTAGTCTTTTAATCGTCAAGATTTTAGAGTTGAGTTTAGAAAATAAAAACTTGGCTTGGAATGAAAAGAACACTGGCTCTGGAGTCAGATAAACTGGGTTTGATTCCTGGCTTTACCACTTACCACGTGACCAACCTTTGGCAAATTTTAAAACCCCACTGGGCTCAATTTCCTTATCTGTAAAAAAAGGATAATACAATCCACCTGCAGAGCTATTGTGGGGATTAGCAAATATATGTAAAACACCTAGCATTCTGCACATCATAGGAGTTTAGTAAATGCTGTCAGTGGTAGTGTCCTCCTCCTCATCACTTATGTGACAAGCACATTACTGTGCATGACCTTCCTCCTGTCAACTGAGATAACTAGTAAATAAATGAAAGCATAGAAAATAACCAGAAATGCATCTAGAACAGCCACTTATGCATTAACTGGTTCTTGGTCAGAGAAGAATCCCTTAAGTCCATCCCCAGCCTACTTCCTTTCCAGACAAAAAGCCAAGCCTACAGGAGTCTCTCTCTACTAATGTCTATTTGTACTCTCCTGTAGGCTTGGCTTTTTGTCTAGGATAGAAGTAGACTAGGGATGGAGCTAAAGTTCTGTCCTATCTCTGAATTATTTTAAATAAATACAAAGGTGGACCTTGGGAGACCTGTTTTTCCTCTCTGATATTCTCAGAGTGGCCTACATCTGACTCGAAGACACAACAACTCCATATGAATTTTAAACTCTGGAAGAATTTAAAAACTGAAATGTTTTGCTATCCATTTAAAATAAAAGGTTCATGCCCTGGCTGGTTTGGCTCAGCCTATGGGCCAAAAAGTTGTGGGTCAAGAGCACGTACCGTGGTTACACTGTGGTCCCCGGCCCTGGTTCGGGTTGTGCAGGAGGCAACCAGTCGATGTGTCTGTCTCTCTCATGTCAATGTTTTTCTCTCCCTCTCTGTCTCTCTCCCTCCCTCCCACTCTATCCTAAGACAAATGAAAAAATATCCTCAGGTAAGGATTAAGAAATAATAATAATAATAATAATAATAATAATAAAAAATAAAAGGGTCAAAGCAGCCAGTTGGTTTTTTGAGCAAATGACTATGGAACACCCAGGTCTCCATGGTTCAGAGGGGTATATTTTAATGTTTTGTTTTTAAAAGAGAGAGACAGAAATATCAAAGTGAGAGAAACATTGATCGCTGCCTCCTGCATGTCCCCACACTGGGGACTGAGCCCACAACCTGGGCATGTGCCCTGACCGGGAATCGAACTGGGACTTCTTAGTCCATCAGACAACACTCAATCCACTCAGCCACACCAGCCGGGCCAGAGGGGTATATTTTAACAGCAGCAGTAGCAGCTGCTCCTTAACATCAACAGAACATTTACTGGGCCAGGCACTGACCTATGTGCTTTACATAAATTATTTCATTTAAATGTCACAGTAACCTTATGAAGGACTATTATTTTTCCTATGTTACAGATGTGGAAACCGCCCTGGCCAGTTTGGCTCAGCGGTTAGAGCGTTGGCCTGCGGTCCGGAGAGACCCGGGTTTGGTTCCCGCTAAGGGCACGTACTTCGGTTGCAGTTTGTCCCCGGCCCTGGTTGGTCGTGCGGGTGGCAGCCACTCGATGTGTCCCTTCACGTCGATGTTTCTCTCTCTCTCTCTCCCTTCCTCTCTCTCCCTCCCACTCTATCTGTACAAAAAATGGAAAAATATCCTCGGGTGAGGATAAAAACAAACAAACAAACAGATGTGGAAACCAAGACTTAGGAACGTTAAGACACTTGCCTAATTTTTAAGATTAGTAAGTGGCAGACTGGAATTTGAATGTAAGACTTAAGTGTAATATGGTACAAAGGACCAGGTGTTTTATTTTGAGTCAATTTGAATATTTATCAGATTGCTCATTGCTTTAGATACTGTCTTCTAAGTATATTAAAGAATACATAAAACACTGAATTAAGAATAGTAATGTATTTGCTTTTAGAACTTCATTTCTCTCTCCCACACTCATTTTTTTCTTTTTCCATAAAGTCTTAAGTTAGAATTGAAGGAGAGAAGAGTGAAGATAACAGGCAGGACTGAATTACTGGTTAGCATTTTCACCATGTAAAAGAGCTTGCTGTTGTAACTTTTCTCACAGCCTACTGATACACGTGAATAATTTATTTCAGGTCCTGAAATTATCTCATAAAAGCAAACTTAAAAAAAAAAAAAGGTGAAAAATACTTTTAAAAATTGTCTGTTCAACCCTTGATATAGTAGGATTACTGAGGATTCCCTCTCGTTAGTAACTAGGACAAGACCAGAACTCACATCTTTCAAGGCCTAACTCAACCTGTGGCTCCCATAAGACTAGCCCTTAATCTGTATCAGTGAGGTAGTCTGTCACTGGTTGACAAAGTTTGGATCTGAATAAGTACTTCCATGAGGGATATTATTTCTATCTGCATGTGATGGAAACAAGAGGAAAAGACACATATTTGAAGATCAACTATGAGTGGTCTAATACGAACATGGAGTATAATATGAAACAAAAAAGGTATTAGCACAGATTGTAACTCAAAGCATTTAGCCCTTTATGAATTCTCTAACTACTGTAGAAACATTTCATTTCACATGTTTAAATCCAATCCCATTCAAATACTTGCCAATTCACAGTAAAGGTAACAGACATGCCTATGTGGATTTATTTCCAGTCTAATCTTTCTACACCAACTGCCTAGATAAGTGTGCTTATCTACACTTAAGGTCAAATATCTACAGGGTTCATTACATTTTGGCCAGGCTATATCTTTGATTTATACAGAGTTCAGAGGGTAATAACAAATCTTTTGAATTCAATGTAGTATTAGCTATAGGCTGCAATGACTTGTGATTCTTGATTACAAATAAATAGGTCAAATGCCTCAGAAAGCTTGGGTTTCATTTGAAAATCTTAAACCGGAATGGAAGACCAGAGTGCTACAGTAATTGTCATCCCTCGACTATAACACTTCACTGGTGTGTAACCTTGGGAGTCATTTAATTTTGCTGTGCCTCTCTTTTGCACTCTATGATAGGAACTCATGTAGTTGTCATATTACATATCTAAAGTGCTCTGGACATTCCAGGGAAAGACATTCTATGAAGGTCTTGAAAAGTCAGCAGTCCATAGCCAAAGGGAAGGGAACCCCAAACATAAGTAATTTAGGATTTTAATTCCATATAACTTACCTGTATCGCTCTTCTTGTAAGGCCTGCATTATTAATGAATAATCCCTCTGATAATGTTCCTTGAGGGTCTCAAAGGATTCCTCTAGTCTGGCCTGGGTTTCCCGGATCTCCTGAATCTCATGTAGTAATGCATCAAATCCTGAGCTCTGCATGTCCAGAGTGTTTGTTTTGGAGCTAGATGCTCCTACAGCGATGCCTCCAGTGGTGCTGTTGGCTCCTACTGAGCCTGAAGTGGCACTAGAACAGTCTTCTTCACTACCATATTTTGGGCTCGACTGAAAGTTTGAAATTACTCCCAAAGCCTTTCCCCCATCATCCACCTGCCCTTCTTCTAAAGAGTCCTTCAGGTTAGGGATGTTGTCTGCACTGCCAAATTTATTCCGAATTAGTGAGGCGATCTCTCTGGGCTTTGAGACCACGGCCCCAGCTGCTGAATGGGTTGCTTGGGAGAAGCTGGAAAGTCCACCTTTGACACTGTCTACCACACCTTCACTGAAGCCAGTTACCTTTGCTCCCACATCCTTCAAACCCTGGTGCATGTCCCTGAAGACATCCTTTGGCTGCCGGGGAATCCCATTCTGTTCCACTTCTCGGAGCTTCCTGTGGTAATGCTCAAGCTTCTTTTGTAGCTGGAGGATGGTTTGGGCAGATTTCTGGTTCTTCTTCTCAAAGACCTGCTTGATGCGGGCAGCCTGCTGCTTATCTGCGCTGTTGGCAAGCTTCAAGTACTCAGCAACGTTGTCGTCCCGGGCTGTTTGTGCAATTTTGATCTGTTCTGTGAGCTTCAGGATCTTCTGCTGCAGGTGAGCAATAGCAGCCTTTGTACGCTGAGGGTCTGGTGTTCCATCCACAGAGTCAGTGTGGATGCTGCCATCAGTACTGGAGGCCACTGCACTGGAAGTCTGGGCGAGGCTGCTTACTTCCAACCGCTCGATCTAACATAAAAGCAAGAGATGGATGTTAAAAGGAGCCCCAGAAGACTATTTTTCCAGAAACAATGGGTCAACCAAGTATATTTTGCTTTAAGCAAAAACAGACGTATGAAAAAAAAAATTGCACAAGATGTAAACTAGGGTATTTTTCCCTTGTTAGAAGATTTTGTACAGTTTATCGTGAAATAAAATTCCTCCAGTGAGTTTAAAGCATAAATTTAATTATATTCTTCACACACACTTTTGCTTAGAAGCATATCTATGTAAAACAAGGTACATCTACATTTCAATTTAATTATATAAATAAAAATGATTTAAGTATTCAGACATCACTGTACTTCCCACCCACGTTTTCAGATTACGGTCATCTGAAAATGTTGGTGAGAATAGGTATTTTACTGGTTAGGTATAAAAACCCAGTTGTTATCACAGTATTTTTGTTTTTATGTCCAAGTCATGTCATGGGTGACAGAATCATTCTCTCTATTCTAATAGTGACACTTATTGGTAGCAGGATACAGGTGCTGGTAAGAATAAGAAGGTACTGCTGAAAGTGGTAAGGATGAATATGGTACACTCCAAAATATAAGTAACTGTGATAAACTTGGGCAACATTATGTGAACATTGGGGACACAGACAGTAAAGGTAAGTAATTAAACAAGTCAATGACCAAGTTCAGACCTTTTGGAGGCCAAATTTTGTGAGTTCTAACCAGGAAACAATTTTTATTAGGCAAGGGACTCCAAAACATATACAATGACTATCTTTTCATTTAGGAGAGCAACCATTCAAAAGAGCTGAAGAAAAAGACATGCTGCTCAGATCTGAAAACTTAAACCATCATACTTTAAGCCATTAGCCTAAGCAGGGAACAGATTAGTTTATCTAACTCGGGAGAAAAAGTCCTTCAAGAAGGTGTCACTGGGTATGGCTGGTGGTAGTGAATTAGAGTAGGGTCTATGCAAGAATGCTTTATAAACTGTCCTCTATTGAGCAGTAACAGAAATAAATAATTAAATAACCACCCCAGGTCATAAAAAAATTTCCAATAATCAAGTCAAATTACAAATTTACCATCCTGGAGATTTAAGAGCACACCCTTTCCCTTGCTTCCCATCCCTAATCTGTCATCAATAGCAATTTGTTAGAAAGAACTGTATATAGGTTACCCTTATATTAAAAAAGGTTGAATTACATTTCTGTGATGACAATAATATACCAATTCTGAAATGTTCATGAAATGCTAATAATTAACTTGCCAGTCTAGACATGTATTCTTTTTCTATTGGTTGTACCTCCTTAGGTTGCTCGCTGAACAGAAATTATGCTGCTCTCTAACACTAAAACACATTTAGTTCATTACTGGATTCAACATAGAACTAGTGATATGAATAAAAACATATTATTTTCACCCTGGCCAGTTTGGCTCAGCAGTTGGAGCATCAGCCTGTGGACAGAGAGTCCTGGGTTTGGTTCTCACTAGGGGCACATACAAAAAACAAACAAACAAACAAACAAACAAACAAACAGAAAAACCCATTATTTTCTTTTTAGACAAACACATAAATATTGTGCCTTTAAATAAAATAAAAAAATAATTTAAAGCCAAAATAAATAAAATGACATTATGCTCCACTAATAAAAAAGAATATCCATAATAGTTAGGGGCTAGTGCAATAACCGTTTTGTATCACTTCTTTCACCTGCCCCATCATCTTTAGGTACATGCTAACTAGCAGTGAAAGGACCAGAGGAAGGCCGCAGAAGGGAGGATGAGCCAAAGTTCCAGATAATCAAGTTGCCAACAGTTTCAACAGAAGTGCCTGGAAACCTACTCTTTCTGTGCCTTAGATTCATTCTCTTAGGTTGTACAGGGTTCTCACTGTGTGATTTTCTTTCTGAATGGGATTTCAGAACCCATAACTACACTATGTAATATTGATAACGTTGTAATTAACTAGTAATTAATAATAGGAAAGGAGCAAAGGGAAGGCCAGACATTATAGGCATGTTCCCTACAAAACACTGGGGGAAGGGGACTGGACAAAGGAAAGATATACACATGTCCAGTCAAGTTGAGATAACATAGGGAAGATACTTGTCTGTCAATTACACCCGGGGACAGAGATGGTTAGCCAGAATGGGCATGACCACTGCAAGTGCGAGAAGATTTGGGATACTTCATTCCTTGAACAAAGAAACTTGTTCTCTTGTGCTCTTGGTTCTCTTGGGATTAGTCTGAATTTAGGCTTGTTGGACTCTGTTGCTCCTGCTTTCCTGCATTTTGCCCACATGGCCCATAGCCATGTGGACTCCACACACAATGGACTAATGGACTGCAGCTAGCCTGATGCTGTACTGCACCTGGTTCCAAAATGGAAAGGAAACTCCGGACATTGGCTTTGCTTCTAGCTTTGCTGAAACCCCAGCTACACTTCTTCTATGACTGGACTAAGAGAAATGGGACTTTGGAAACCAGGGGTGTAATTGCAAAGAAATAAAGCTTTCTACCATATCTCATCCTCCTGTCGGGGGCCTCTGGAAATGCTTATTCCAGTATACCCCAAGAATCCCACTTCCACTGATAACAGATAACAATATGACCCTGACTGTGTTTAATAGTTCAAAATCTATCACAGTATAAAAGTAAAGCAAATATTAAATACTATTAGATCCGCCCTGGCCGGTTTGGCTCAGTGGTTGAAGCGTTGGCTCGCAGATCAGAGAGTCCCGGGTTCAGTTCCCACTAAGGGCACATATCTCAGTTGCAGTTTGTCCCTGGCCCCAGTTGGGGTTGTGTGGGTGGCAGCCACTCGATGTCTCTCTCTCACATCAATGCTTCTCTCTCTTCCTTCCACTCTATCTGAAGGTAAATGCAAAAATGTCCTTGGGTGAGGATAAAAATAATAATTAAAAAAATAAAATAAAATAAAATAAAACGTTACTAAACTTTAAACAATACATACATACATACATACATACATACATACATACATACTATTAGATCCAAGACTACCAGCTTAAGTATGGTCTAGTTTTCTTAGGTTGTTGTTCATTGGACTATCAATTTATAAGCAATCTGCTGTCTAAAGAAATACAGATATGGAAATCAAGTTTAACTATTACTCTGAGAGGATAAAAACTGATCACACTGGTGAAAAGATGGCTTTGAGACTGAAATCAAGATTTGATTACAGCCCTGGCCGGTTTGGCTCAGCGGTTAGAGCGTCAGCCTGCGGTACAGAGAGACCCGGGTTCAGTTTCCGCTAAGGGCACGTATTTCGGTTGCAGTTTGTCCCCGGCCCTGGTTGGTCGTGCGGGTGGCAGCCACTCGATGTGTCCCTTCACGTCGATGTTTCTCTCTCTCTTTCTCCCTTCCTCTCTCTCCCTCCCACTCTATCTGTACAAAAAATGGAAAAATATCCTCGGGTGAGGATAAAAAATAAAAAAAAAAGTTTTGATTACATCTCAAGAACTGAAAAAAAACAACTTTTAATATAATTATTTATAAATGATCAGCTTAGATGTGAATTTATTTCTCTACACAATAACTAAAGATAGAAACCAGACTATCTTTAATCTGACTTCTCTCCTACCTGGGCTATGTCCTTCCAGTACATGGCTCCCTGGTAAGAACTCAGCTGACAGAACCCACTGTCCTCAGCTTACAAAGAAAACTAACCCACAGCTTCAGCAGGAGGGTAGTTTAACACCTGAAACCATGAGTCACTGGATTACTCAATAACTACTCCCAATTTTGGCAGGCACTATCCTCAAAAAGGAAGGGGAGAGAGAGAGAGAAGAAAGGGAGAAATTGCAAGAGGAAGGGAGTGGAGGGGAAGAGAGGAGAGGGGAAGAGGAGTGGAGAAGAAAAGAGGAAGATATATTGAACTATTGAATTACAGGTCAGCTATGAACAAAGTCCTTAGAGGTACAAATACTTAGCACTGGAAGGGCCTGATTTAGCCATGAGTTATGAATACACCAACTAAAAAGAGGTTCTTTTTTCCAACAGCTTTTGTTTAGGTTATCTATATTGGGAGAGGGGAAGAGGAGTGGAGAAGAAAAGAGGAAGATATATTGAACTATTGAATTACAGGTCAGCTATGAACAAAGTCCTTAGAGGTACAAATACTTAGCACTGGAAGGGCCTGATTTAGCCTTGAGTTATGAATACACCAACTAAAAAGAGGTTCTTTTTTCCAACAGCTTTTGTTTAGGTTATCTATATTGTGAGGGCTAAAAAAATAATTTTCCTCCCACCTAAGTTCTTCTGGCTGGGTTAATAATCAAAATAACAGAGACAGATTAAGAGGAGGAAAGGTCCAAGATTTATTATCGGGGGTATAATGAGTCCTGAAATGCACTGGGCTGTAGAGACAGACAAAGGAGAAAAGGGGGCAGGGGTTTGGGATTTTGAAGAGGAGATAGGCAATTTACAGGTAGTTTAGAAAAAGTGAAACACACATGCTGGCAAATTCCTGCTAGGCAACCCAGAAACAATGGGATTTAGGGGACTCTAGCTAACATGTTCCTGCTTGGATCCTTCCTATCTACCAAACTTAATTCAGATAGGCTAAAGTGAAAACCCTTAAAGTGAATGGTCAAAGGTTCTTTCTGAGCCTTTTGTTTCATAATAACCAGCTTAAAATCAATATCCCAAAAGGCACATTTGGAGTGGTAGAACTTTGGTCCCCTCCAATATATAACATAAAATTAGATTCCTACCTCACTCCAGACAGCCAATTAAATTGCAAATGCAAAAAGCAAAATTTAAACCTTTTAGAAGGCAGTATTGGAAAATAGAGAAGGATTTTCTTTCTTTCCTATTCTTTTCTTTATTGATTTTTAGAGATAGAGGAAGGAAGAGATAAAAACATCGATGGGAGAGAACATCAATTGGCCATCTCCTGCATGGCCCCCACTGGGGATTTGGCCCACAACCTGGGCATGTGCCCTGACTGGATATCGAACTGGCCACCTCTTGGTGCATGGGTCGATG